GGTAAGAAAGGTGTCGGTTGCCTTGTACTTCTGTAGGGGTCTCTCGCCCAAATTAATTCATTAGCTCTAGGAAACCAGATTTAAGCCTATATTGTTTCAGGGAGGCCTTCTCTTGTGGAACTTACTAGAGAAGGCTACACTTGTAAAATAGGAATTAGCGGAGCATTAGGAACCACACCTACACTGGCGCTTAACATACATATGTTGAACACGGCGCCTGCGGATATTGCAGACAGAATTGTCGCAGCACGATTTGCTATTGTGCTTAGGGGAACCGGGTCCTTTCGTGACATAAAAAAGGAAAAGATGTTTCTCTGCTGCAGCAAATGTTTTAATAGGGCACTTTTAAACATGTTACCTCTCAAGGGCTAGTGATGGGGGTTCTGACAGGCCATTATGCGATTGGTATTCATGCGTTGAGACTTGAAATTTCAACTGATCCTCGCACTTTTCAACAAACACTGAGCTCTCAGGGATCGAAATTAGCCGCATTCGAAATTTCATAATCGACTCGCGGCGTTACTTAACCTAACCTGTACTTCTTTGTGCTATGAAATAGTTGGTCACATTATTCATACTACACTAAAACACATAAAAATCAAATGTGTAAACTTTGTGAAAAACTCAGGAAAATTCAATAAATCAGCATACTAATTTGCAATTTTATATTCAGATTTTCAAGCAACTTCAAACCTGCACTTTGATAAACTAAAATTAAATGTATTATTAAACTGCATACTTGGAATTTTTCTAAAAAATACTTTGCCTATATTGCGAAAATTTTACTGTGCCAATACTTTTGTTCGATACTGTAAGTAAATAAAACCCTTAACTTAAAAAACCAAAAAAAAAATTTGCAATATTTCAAAATTATTTTTCGAATCATAATTTTTTTTTATCATTAACAATGTATTTATATTTTTTTGTTTGGTTTTAGATCCTTTTTGCTTTCAACACGAGGTATCTTTTTTCTAGTTTCTATTGTCATAGCCATAACTCCCTGTCTATTTCTATCAATCAATCAATAAATTTTATAATTTTTTTAATTAATTAATTAATTAATTTTTAATTTTTCCTAAATACAAGTAGAGCTTTATAAAACTTGTATAACACCAAATGTTTATCAAGCTTAGGATTTTGTGTTATCCGGGCAGGCTTATTAATTTAACCAGAGAATATGTTTTCTTTATTAAGTTTACCCAGTTCCCCATTTTAAACTGCTACCTGTACTGTATCAGCGGTTAAAACTTTTTAAATTTTTATTTAAAATTTTCGGTAAGGAATAAGCGAGTGGATGAAAAATATATAACGGTAAGAACAGCCCATATATTTATATGTATATGAAAGAATACACACATGCGACGACTCTAGCCATTGTTTGTCACTCCTTTAAATTATAGTTATTTTTTTCTTATTGTATTAAAAAAATAACGTTCGTAACACTTTAGTAAATATTAATCCGTATATTAACTGAGTATATATTAAAGACTAGAACATGACCCGGTGAACTTCATATCATCTATAATTTATTTGAATTTAACTTTGATCAATTATAACAAATCTTCAAAATCCAATACAATGAGATCACTAATACTGCCTGCTGTTATAGCTGATAAAAGATTACACACCTATGAGATGTGCCACGCCCCTTTTTACAAACTCATTTATATACATATATCTTTCCATAAGCACCTACATGCATTTCTGTGCATTTCAAATTTCGAGTTCATGTGACTATAATTCCGAAGTTAGAGCTGATTAAAAATTTTCACTATGGGAGGTACCCCTCATCCCCCTCCCCCCTTGGCGAGTTTCAATTTTTTTACCCTATTATAGGTCTAGGAGTCATGGCAATACTTTGGCAAAATTTTATTCGATTCTGTACATCCGTTCAGGCTGCAACATGGTACATACATACATACATACTTCCCCAAATATATAGAAGATTTGCTTTGAAGCGCCATCTTGCGGTTCTTTAAATAAAAAATAGATATCAGAAATTAATTTTTCGTATCACAAAACTCCCGAGCACAACTCTTTATTACAAAAAACAACATTCCTAACACTTTAGTAAATATTAATCTGATTATGAACTTAGTATTAATTAAAAATATTTTCTTTTAAAATTGCGCAGGCTCGAAATTGATTCCAGAGCTATGGTCTAAAGGGCTTCTTTTCTTAGAATTTTATGTAGAATCCGAATCTGCTAGGAACGATGTCAAATAAAAATTGACCCGCCCTAATGTATGAACATACAAACGGTGGCAAGTAATTAATAAGTGTGCGCACAAGTAGCAACAGCTTCTCACTTATCAATTGCCCTAAGGAACGCTTAAAAGTCCCTAAAGCTAATAACAATACAATAAAAATTTGCATAAGCACCGAAATATGGAGCTGAGTGAATTGTGAATTAAAAAAAAAATGGTGAAGCAATAAATTCTAGAATATTAAAAAAAAACTATTGTATATGAAAAACGAGCTTAATCAGCACAATAAAACATACTCGTGTCCGAATGCAATCGCACTTATAGCATTTACACACTTTTATAAGTAGTTTCAGCCACTGCCACGCATGTTTGTTAGTATGTATGTACATATGTATGGACTCGTAGACATATCATTGTTGAAACACATTTTAATGCTTTTTTTGCGCCACACACAATAAATTCTTGCGGGAATTATACATAAAGTAAAAGGTCTTCCATTGGACTCGCAAGAAACAAGTGTAAATTGTGAGATAATTATTGTATTTATTGTGCTTAGGCGCTTTCACATATTTATTAAGTCATACATACATAAAATAACACAGCAATATTTGAAAAAAACGCAGAGCTGCTATCAACAAAGCATATTTCAAAAGTGTCCGCTACTACATAAGTACATATGTTTGGATGTGAGTTTCTTATTGTTTCTTTAACTACCAGCACCACTCCACTCCCCTCTAATGAGACAAAATCTCAGCATAATATTGTTACATAAATTAATTGGTGTTAAGTGATTTAGATGGTGTGGTCTGGCGCCTCTGATAAATCGGCAAATGCTAAGAATACATAAACAAATACTTACATACTATGACACATGTCTGAATTTACGTCCATATGTATATGGGTCGTTCCATACCAAAATGGACGGGGTTGACACTTCATGTGTTTGATTAGTTTTAAATTTTTAGGGTTGATGAACAAACATAAATAATAAATAAATATGAAATTTGAGCTTGATTAATACATTTTTAAAAAATTTACCGCACAAAAACAAAAACAAATCGATTTTATAGTTTTCCAAATATTTCGAGAACGGAGCGAGGAAAAATTAAAAAAAAACTCACACATACACACATCCAAATTCTCTATGAAAATAAATATTTTTTCTTGAAAATATGCCATCTCAAAAAAATATCACAATGGTAGAGCATCGCGCAATATTTAAGTATAGTATTACGGGTGCACTCTACAATAATTTGAGTTATGCATTTTTTTCTACACCGAAGGCGAGTAAAATGAGTACATTACAAATTCACAAATTTTTTAAATTTTTTTTTTTAATTTTAAATTTAAATTTTAGTTTTTAAATTTTAGTATAATAAAGTGCAAGTTTTAAGCGATTGCAAAACTGGCGGTATTTTTTTAAATTTTCTTTGAAAACGGTTTTGTGCATTTTCTTCCATAACAAAATAAGCGCAAAAAGCCGTCAGCATAAAAAATATTAAAAAATCAACGCAACTTTGCAACGGTTGCTCGAAACCGGTGTTGCCGTTGAGAATTTTCAGAAAGTCGCAAAAAAGAGGTCATTGACGGAAGAAAGGGTCACCATATTATTTTTGCTATTCTTTACTAGTAAAAGAATAAATCTGTTGAATTTAAAAAGAAACTAGCGGGACACGCTTTGCACAAAACAGGGTTGCAAACATACACACAAATCTAGTTGCTGCAAGGAGAAGAAATGCATTTCCTTTAAAAGTTTTAAGTGATGCATTTTTTCGTACTTACAGGAGGAAATATTTTTTATAGCATGGTTCTGTTAACATTTCCTAAAAAAAATCTCTGAAAAGGGGCAAAAGTTGTATATAAGTTTGGAAAACGGAAATTTGTCAAGTTTAAGAAATTTAGCAAGTTATCGATATTTATTGAATTATCATTAACGAAATTTATCGACCAATCCTAATGCATCGAGTTCTTTCAACTTACGGAGTTATCGATAATTATTGATCTACTGAAATTGGTCGATTGTTGATGAAATTTTCAAAATATATCGATTTATCCAAATTTCAAGGTTATATAAGTTTATCGAGTTATCACTGCTTTTCGGATTTGATCATGTTAACAGAGTGTAACGAGTTATAGAAATTTTTCAATAGCATTCGAAAAATATGGAGCTGTTAAAATTAAAAATGTATAAAGGTATCCAAAAGTATATATTTACATTTTTGAGTTAACGAAATTTATCGAGCTCTTGAATTTTATAATTATCGAAATAAGGCGCTTTATCGAAATTTGCTGAGTTATCGGCTTTTAGTGTTTTTGAAATT